AATTTATGAATAGTAAGGTTTCTTTAATTATTTTGCACTTTAAAATCGAATGTGTGAAATGATTCTGTATTAGAAAAAAATAAAAAAAAAACTCCTTGAGTTATAGAAGTTTTCATTAAAACAAACACATTTTCAAAAAGCAGTGAAATATATATTAATATTGTTTCATGCCCAAAATATTCACCAAAATCATTCGATTGCACCGCTCTCCTGCCATCTCTCTAAAACTCTTTCAATATTTTCATTAGTTGAAGAGAATGAAGGTTGTCCAGAACGAAGCAGGCCCTCAACGATCATTCGACAGTCTTTGAAGGTTTTGTACTACTCATAAGCTTGGTTTTTTATGAAACTGAATCCCTGTAAGCCTTTTCCAACATTCGCAACGATTCCATGCACGAAATATGGTTAGAAATACAAAATGTTAGACAAATCCTTTGTTCGATATTTATCCCTTGTAAAAATCGCACTACTGAGGTATACCGAGATGCAAATCTCTTTAGTGTTTTGTAGTAATCGTCAGTTGTATTAACATTCGTATTTAAATAGCAATTTAAAATTGCAAAGGAATAAGTTACATCATATTTGGATGACGAATTAATAATTTCTTCTTGAGAATCCTGAAGTTCGATTTATAAAAAAAATTTGTGGGAAGTTTGACTTCTAAATGTTATTGTCAATTAAAGAGTTTGAGTTATAGAAGTTCAAGTGTTTATATATTTAAATTTTTTTGACATTTCACATACGATTGGATGCCCAAATTAAGGCTTTAATAAATTTTTAAACATTTCCAAAATATTTTCGTATAATCTTTTTTAATTTCTCTGAAAATATCTGAAAGGTTTGCGCTCAATCTAACAACCTACAAATTATTTATTATAAATTTTATTTATTCCCAAATATTTCCAAATCTTTCCAAAATATTTTGAAGTAGGAAAAAAACTTTGTTTTGAGTTTTCTTAAAATTTTTGTAAATGCTACACAGAATTTTAAATCGAAATTTTTAGATTTTTTTATAGAGCAACCAAAAATTTTTAAAGCGCAAAAAATGTATAAATTTTTATCAAATTGTTCAAAAAATTTAAAAAATTAAATGCTTAATTTTTTATTTTAAGTTTTGT